TAACAATTGTATAAATATTAAATTGTAACTTATGCTTTAAAAAAGAGTCTCGCTGGGTTTCTTGCTGGTTCTTCGCAGGACAGAGATTTATTTCCTAACCTGTGGTAAAATTAAAAAATGACTTTCAATAACAATCATATGTAATCAATATTGAATAAAAATTATTCTATTCTATCCTATTATATTTCATATGAAGAGTAACGCTTATCGAAGACCTTTTTAGCCGAATTCAAAAAAGGGGGAAGTTCTAAATTCGTCTGTATGTTTTTTGTATGTACCAGGCGGTCCCATAATGAACTGGCCTTATATAGTTCAACGCGACATGTCGCTACATGTTGTGTTGCATTAAATTGTACGTTTATCGTGCACTTAATATAAGAAACATGCATCGACATGAAATGCTTAGTCTTAGTTTAACAGGCATTTGAATAACGAGAGTCGCGTATTTTTTAAAATGTCGAAAAATGAGTATCGAAGTGTCATAAAGTTTCTGTTTAAAGAAGGTTTATCCCCTGCCCAAATAAAAGAACGATTGGATGGCGTGTATAAGGAGTCTGCCCCCTCCTATAGCACAGTGAAAAATTGGGTGAAAGAGTTTCGCCTCGGGAGAGAAACCGTCGAAGACTTTGGCCACGACGGTCGACCTGTGGAAGTGCTCACTCCCGAAACGATTGCTCTTATCGAAGAGGAGGTTCTGAGTGACCGCCGTTTGAAGATTAGAAAAATTGCAGCAAGGCTTCGGATCTCTAAGAGTACCGTTCATCGTGCGATCCATGAACATCTTCACATGAAAAAAGTGAGTGCAAGATGGGTACCGAAACTTCTTTCAGGGGTACAGAGACAGGAAAGACTGCGCTGCGCTTCGGAGTTTTTGGATCTTTGTGGCGAAAATCCAAAAACTGTGATCGAGCGGCTAGTGACTGATGATGAAACTATGATCTTGTATTATGATCCACAAAGCAAGCGCGAGTTAATGGAATGGCCTTATAAGGGTGAAAAGCCCCCTAGAAAGGCAAAGGTGCAACAATCGACTAAAAAACTGATGTGCACAATATTTTGGGATTTTCAAGGCATTTTGATGGTGGATTTTAAAGAACGTAATACAGTCGTGAACGGCGAATATTATGCTTCTTTAATATATAAATTACGAGACAAGATAAAGGAAAAACGAAAAGGCAAGCTGTCTAAAGGTGTCCTGTTGCTCCACGACAACGCCCCTGTTCATACCGCTGGTGTTTCGAAGGATGCAGTTCGTCAATGCGGGTTCACAGAAGTTCAACATCCACCTTACAGTCCAGACATGGCCCCGTCCGACTATTATTTATTTCCAAATTTAAAGCGGGACTTAAGAGGAAGAAAATTTTCAAGCGATGAAGAGTTGCAGGCGGCCGTCTTCAGTCATTTTGAGGATAAAAAATGTGATTATTTTTATAAAGGTTTAGAGATGTTGATTCACAGATGTCAGAAGTGTGTTAGTATTCATGGTGATTATATTGAAAAATAAAATTGGTTTCGTTTCATTTCCTTCATTGGTTCATAGTTGGGCCAATTCATTATGGGACCTACCACGTATGTACGCTTACGCGATATCTTTGCTCATTGCGAACCGATCTGATGATCCTTAATTAAGTTTAACTTACTTTATTAAATAGCTTTGTCTTCAGTTGTGGTGTCATATAGAAAAAGAATTGCACCCTCAGGCTGTCAAAATAGGAGATGAAGTTTTAAATATACATACTTAAATGATGATGAAATGTAATTATTTTTCCATCGCACATCGACGAAATTTACGATACTACCCGCACCACCTGGACTTAATACTAGGAGGTCCACCACTGTGCGATTTTCTAGGATTTTTCTGTTCGCACGACTTTTTTGTGTAATCGGCTATCACCACCGATTTTCTCAGAGCAAAACCTTACGAAATGAGCCTTCTAACTCCTTTTTTTGTTTAGTGTAACAGTTATTTATAGACGGCGGTAGTCACTTACATAGGTGAGCTGCCTCTTCTTCTATAAAAAAACTTAATATCAAAATACTAATACATTAAAGATTATTTATTTACTATAGCGTTCAAAACAGCTTATTGGGTTTTCACGGACCACAAAACTTTTTCCGATATGCACCGCCGAATGCGTGCATTCAAGGGTCGTTCGAGCATGCTGAATTTACGAGTATTGATTACAATGATATTCGAATAGTATAAAACATTTATGTTAAGGTTAAACCAACATAGACAGTAATGATTTTGTGTAGGCCAATAACATGAATAGGCTTACCTTAATAAATTTCGCTTTATTTACCGCCTCGGTGGCCTTTTTACATTTTGCCGAATCATCAGGTAACAATTTATTTTGTGTGGTTTGAATTTTCTTTTTGAAAGATAAGTGTTTTTGGCTAAATCTTATTATGTGTTATAAAATTTGTTTTATACATAATTTACATAAAACTAATATTAATATTATTTGATTATATAATTTTCTGCTATAGACATAAGTACCTACAGAAATAAATAGATATGTCAATAGCAGTTGGTCCCTGGCTCTTCTACTTACTAAAGATACTCTTTGGTCTCTAAGTGAATTTTAAATAGTGTGAACATAAAATAATGTTACAATTTTAAAGTTCTTTGCTTCTAAATTCAAATTTTAACTGTTCAATGAATGCAACATTTCAATCGATTTGCCTCCATTTTATATATCGTGATTGTTAATTTACCTTGTGGAGTGTGGTGTTAAGGAAAACGTTAGTAGTCGTCAGAAAAAGCTAAGCTTTGTGTAGCGTACTTTTGGCAGTTACTTTGTGTTAGTGCACCTGATCACAAGATACAAACATCTCAAACTCGGCTCGAGGCCAACGTTTTGGACGTTAAAATCTGATAATTGGTCTCCGTCTATCCCAGATGAAAAAACTTTACTCCGACATTGAGTCTCTTAAGAAAACTTTAGTACCAGTTTAGTGGCTAAATTCTGAATAGAGGCAGAGCATAGGTTCTTAGTCACATAGATTGAGGCCTGCGCGAAAACCAAAGATCGCCACTTTGAATACAATTGTTTTTATGTTAGGTTAGTCACTTAGACTCTAAATATGTCCACAATACATGTATGTTTTATTATTATATAACAATGTTTCTTAATAAACGAAATGCATTTTAATGTGTATAGGTTAATTAGATTTTATATTTTATTATATAACTTTTAATGTAATTAAACCACAATTATTGCTTCTGGTTTAGCGATTAAATTACTCTACTAATCGAGTTTGTGAAGCAGAAAGTAACTTCAATCTGTTATATTATTATGACATCACTAAACGAATTCAAAAATCAACTAGAATTCTTACATATACATTATATATTACAATCGGTTCTGCTTTACGCTTCAACTAAGATAGGTTACTTACAGTCATAAAGATGAAATATGAAATAGATATTATAGCAGTTTAGTTTTACTCACAAAAATTTACTCCTGTTTTAAGTAAAAGGATTTTATTTTATTTTATTATTCATTTTTCTTAGACTTTCTTAGACCCAAAGGATTAGTAAGCTGAAGTGGCAATGGGCCGGCTATATAGCTTGAAGCACCGACAACAAATGAGGGAGAAAGATTCTCGAGTAGCAGTCTCGTACCAGTAGGCGAAGTGTAGGGCGTTCCTCCACTAGATGTAGTGACGATCCGGTAAGACATGCAGAAAGTCGATGTATGCAGGTTCAGGACCGTGCTTTGTGGCATACCTTGAGGGAGGCTTATGTTCAGCAGTTGAATTGTGAAGGACTGTAATGAGTAGATGCATATGAAAAGTCTACAGCTAAACATAAGTCTCCTATGAGGCAATAGAGGGGATTTTGTCATAATCGCCAATCTAACAGGCGGGTAGTTAACAGAATGGTGGTGCCCATCTTATGTTTTAGTTTCCAGTTTGTCGGCTTCCATTATATCCACGGGATAATATTCGAGAATGCATTATTTACGAACGTAATGTATATATTGTACAATCGGGTTTGTGACTCATGCCCATTGTAATCTAAATGGAAACACTTTTTTTTAATGTCAAAATGAATCTTTCTATAGAAGTTGTAGGTATATAAGTGTTATTGCGTAATGACGTAATGATGCCAGTGGTGGCAGTTAGTAGAGTAGACCATGAGGCCCTGGGTACGAATCCCGGCTCGCGAAATTCTCGGTAGTAACCCGGAGAAAGCTAGCGGTATTTCATTCACGTGCCGATCTAAATCACGTAAAACCGTTGGTTCAGCATCTGATCTCCCAGGTTGTGTCAGGTTGCTATCCAATAAGACTATGAGAGTGTGGGAGAAAATAGGGTGCAACTTCTTTGCACACACACTTGCACTATAATCCTATCATGACCAGATGGATCCTATCCATCAGCCTGCATTGAGACTAACTGCCGTGAAAGAAATTCGAAAAGGAGGACATAATTATTATTGATGATTTTTTATAGGATAGGGTGACAAACGAGCACACAGTCCACCTGATGGTAAATGGTTGCTACGGTCCGTAGACATCTAGATCTATTCCCGATTACGAATTAAAATGCAGATGCGTTGTCACTCGTGAGGACTAGGATGGAATGCCTCGTTTCCAGTAAAAAGGGTCTCCGGTTCTCTACACTCACCATATGAAACACAGCACCAATAAGCTACTATTTTACGCTGGAGTTCTGTGAGAACGTGTTCCTTCCCTGGTCGAGCCGACCCATTCGTGATACAACTATACCACTAATATAACTGCAACATGGCTCTACCACGTAGGAAAATAGTCACGTAGGAAAATAGTAAATCGTAAAATAGAGAAACTATTAATTTTAAAGCAAAACTAATAACATTTATCTAAAAGTAGCAAGTACAAAGCAGATAAGTTACTGTTTTATTAATAATGGTGTTATCTACCCAATAAATAGAAGGCGAAGAGGCTCTAAACAAAGTCGAGATTTTGGATGATCAAGAAGGAGATAGCGAACTTTTGGAACGATCAGGCGTTATGGCAAAAGGCAGTGCGATAGCAGGCAGTACAAACAGTTTAAGACCTCTTTTCCAAGTTCCATCAAATCCAAGGCCTGGCGGAATTCATACAGATGCACTGGAGTGCTACGCTTGTACTGACTGCCCGAAAATATACGAAAATACGACATCCAAAATATGTCCGCACTCGCTGGACGTCACAAGAGAAAAGAAATGTGTTGTTTACGCTGAGCAATACAGGCGTAAGTAATTAAATAATTCCTCTTTATTTTACCGTAAAGGTCCGTTGTAAGATTTTTGTTACGTCGGATTTGCCTTGATCGTCACGCTTGGTGGGCAAATTGAAGGCCGCAGCACCAGAATTTTTGCAACGCTGCTGTGCGTTGCCGGCATGAGAATGTTTCGTATGTCTTAAACGAGATACGTATTATATCTATACAAATGAATAAAATTTAAGTGTCTGTTTGTAATGTCAAAATAAAAATACGTGTGGCACTCGGGGATTGCCGCGGTAAAGCTATTGCATAGCATTTTTTATCAACTTATGCAATTATAATTATTTATTTATTTTATTTATGCAGTATTTTTTTCTTCGTTTTTTTTTCTTTGATATTAATTCAAGTTATACTTTTTGAGCGCGGTGACCGATAAGAAAATATATTTTTTTTCTTTTATTTAATAAATGAGAAGTTAATATTGTATAAAATATTTTATTATCTTACAATACATGTAGGTCTAGTCGCACGCACACAAACACCGTGCCAAAGTCTACCGAACTGAAACGATGTTAGACGATGCACGGCTTTCAACGCAGCACCGCTGTGCCGGTCGGAGTTGGGGGTGTTAGGTTTATTTTTGTTACGAAATTTTTTGATTCGGTCGCCGCGCTCAAAGGGCGCGATAAAAGCTATGCAATAGCTTAATAGCTTTTTACTAAATGCATATAAAAGTATATATGGTACTCATAACAAAAAAAGTCCTTTAAAATTTTTGTCTGGCTGTCTTTTTATTCCAGCTAATCTCCGAAGTTTGCTGGACCAATTTTGATTAGACTTTCTCTAACAGATAGCCGATGTTATAAGGAGTAACTTAGGCTACTTTTATTTTAAAAAACAATATTACGGTTCTGCGCAAAAAAAAATTAAAACCCATAAAATCCAATCGTAATAAATTCCACGCAGGCGAAGTCGCGGGGAACAGCTAATTATTATATAAGATTTTTCCGGCATCTCTTTGAGTCACATCATACGTCACCCATGGGATGAATTGGTGTAATAAGTAAATAATCGTAAGCCGCGACATACTGCGATAAAGTAGTTTAACTAAAATATTATTTTGTTCCCATTTATGTATATAATTTAAAAAATATTATACTTTTAAAATACAACATGATGTATGCATGAAATCAAATCTTAATTATTTTACATCCGCCATAGTATTTTGCGCTTATTAAAAACCTTAAAAATATAATATAACCTTAAAATTAACCTTAACAATAACAATCATAGCGCCTTTTTCTTTTTAATGATTAGTCTTGCGATTCAGCTACATCCTTCTGTTACCATGTTTTCTAACAATTTTTGTTAGAATAAGTTTAACTAACTGGGAATTTGTGATTCATATTTGGATAAGTCATCGACGAGTTTGGCAGATTTAAAAGGAATAATACAAATAAAAATGGTTATTTCGTGTGTAATATATAAATCAATGGTTTAAAATATTTAATATAATCGGGATAGAATAACATATATTGCATAGAGAAAAAAAAAAGATAAATACTTTTCTTATTCCATTTCATGTGAATAATACTTCAAAGTGGCAATATTTATTAAAAGGTATATAACTTAAAATCAATTTTATATGTTAAAGCCGTAGGTAGCTCAGGGTAAATTTCAAAGCACCTATGAAATTGTCTATTACAGTTTTAAGTTTAGATTTACCACATGCCGGCAATGAAATGAAGTAATAATAAAAAAGTAAAAAAAAAGTAATTAAAAATAAATATTTCAAAGACACGTCAAGTTCGCCAACCTAATATACTGGGACAGGGCGGCGAACATTTCCTTGAAACAAAGCTGAGAGGAGACCTGCGTAAACAGAAATCTTTATTTTAATTTTTAACTTTATTTTAATTTTGTGTTTCGTTTTAGATATGAAGAGATCTTGGTACATTCGCGGCTGCGCTTCAGAAAGAGGTTCATGTGCTGACATCAAAAAGGCCCATGACTCTCATTCGGACATTGTCAATTTACTGTTCTGCCGAGAGTGCGAAGGAGACAAATGCAACACAAGTGGTGGTGACCGATCCCTCTTTGATTTGACTCTAGCTGTGTTTGCAGTAATCATCAGTCCAATCGTTGCAAAATATACGCTTTCTTAGGCAAGCGAAAACAATTACCATATATATTAAAAAACGAACAAAGACTGTAATTAAAAAATACAATATATATATGATTAATATATCGCTATTGAATCGACTGCTGGATACAGCCTTTCTAAGGTCGCTCATAATGACGCATTTTTTTCAAAGATCTACCCATATTACAAGATCTCGTAGTTGCTATATTATATTATCCTATACCTTTGAACGAGCAATTCTTGTATATATATATATATATATATATATATATATATATATATATATATATATATATATCCTAAGTATATATATATATATATCAATATTTAACAACAAAGTATAGAACTTAACTTGTATCATTATAACTTCAAACAGAAATCATAAAATCATGAAGCATTTATGTATTAGTCCTTATAAGATGAACCTATTTTTAATAAAATTAGAAAAAACTGCTTGTTATGTTTTATTTTTGTTTAAAATACGACTTATATTATTCTATTACTTTGCGAAGTTTTCTTTTTCTTCTCTGATTAATATATCGCTATTGAATCGACTGCTGGATACAGCCTTTCTAAGGTTGCTCATAATGACGCATTTTTTTCAAAGATCTACCCATATTGCAAGATCTCGTAGTTGCTATATTATCCTATACCTTTAAACGATCAATTCTTATATATATATATATATATATATATATATATATATATATATATATATATATATATATATATAAGATCAACAATAACCAAAGATTTGAAATGAGATGGCTTCGTTTAACGGACTGATTTTAGTTTTAATTGATTCACAAGGCATGTCTCATTTAGTTCATAGTTTACTTCAGAGTGTAATTTATAATAAAGCGATTTTGTACAAATTTAGTTTAACTGTTTTACTTTAATACTTATAATGTTAGTTATATTGCCATATTTAACCTTATAGTCTGGTCGCGGAGAGTTTCCTGCGAAAAATCATTCCAATTCTCCTAAAAATCTCATTCGATTCGTTATATTATTCTGAGAAAGACGTTTTTTTTTTAATTTTTCTGCAACAAAAATTGCAATGGTCATGAACAAAAAACTAAAAAAAATTTTGCTCCAGATAATAAATAAGAAATAATGAAAATCACAAAAAATATCTTTAAAGAAGAGGATATTTGCAACAAAAAAATTCCGTTTTCCGGAACTCTATCTCCATTATTTATAATTTCAATTTAACGCTGACAATGGGCACCGCGAGGCCGTTACGGCATGTGCGCGTTGCCGTGCCGCTAGAAAGAGTTTGCCGGATAAAAATAAAATATATTTTTATCACTTAAAATATTACATATTTTAAAAATTCGAAAATATTCTGGTATCATCTGGCCACTTAAAATAATAAATATGAAAAATCTCTTATACTTAACGATTTTTATATATCTTCTTTCAATACTTATATTATGGTTGTTTTTGTATTTTTTTTTGCATTAAGGAAAAAAAGACGGGTTAAATTTTTTTCGTTATCCTACAGAGAAACGCCAATTATGAGTTTTAAAGGAAAAAAATCTTAATTAATTATTTAAACAATCGAAGTATAATAAAACGATTTTAAACAATTAAAACATTTATTTAAGAAATTTTTTTCATACAAAATAACTATTATGCCATGACAATAAAATGGTATTTTTTTAAAAAACATTAAAATTGTCTATTTGCTTATAAACAATTTCTTAACAAATGACATAAAAAAATCTCCCAATGCAGCGATGAAGAATTTGGAAAAATTAAGTCACTGGTTTTTTTTAAATGTTTATTTATTTTGTTTATTTATTTATTTATTTCCCACTATACAATTATCTTTACAGGTTTATCACCTAATGCGATAATGTAGACAACTATTTTTACCAACTCCAACTACACTGTTACAAGCTAATAATTTTCGATTATAAATATGTACTTATTGCTATTTCAAACACCGTATCTATATCACAGTAGGACCATAACTAATTTCAAATAGAGCTTTTACTATGAACCCACCCAGAGTACAACAAAATATATCTATATGTCTTCTGCTATACGGATGAGGATACGGAGGGCGCGCGTAAATGGCGCTTCAGTCACCAGCTTAGTGCGGCCGTGTGGCACAGCTATCAGCTGAGGCCGCCGCCGTCGTCAATTTATGTAAATTATTATTATATATAATATGTATATAATAATTATGTATTTAAATTTATTTAAACTTCATTGAATCTTAGACAGGATAACATCAAAAAGCGGACTTAATGCTATAAAATAAGTCTCTACCACTTAACCTTAGGGTAATGATTCCACTACTTACACCTCTCTACAATTGGATAAGTTTCATGCTCTTGTTCTTTACTAGGATAGATATCGCAGCGTATATACAAGCACTTTTGTCAAAGGATATGTATGTGGTCTATGGCACTAAAACCTTTTCAGAAATAGGTTCATTCTGGAGACTGGTAGTCGTTGGGTCTACGTGCGAGGATTCCTTACTCCGACGTCCTTACTCCGCTATGACATTCTATGAAGAGTAAATCTAATCTCGCTCAGACTGACGTACGAGAAATCATCGGCATAATACTTGTATGCGGTTCTATCGATGATGTGTACAGTTGTCTGTAAAACTCCTCGATCTCACTCAAAATCTTCGGTACTACGGAAATGAGGCTGCAATTATCGGTCTTTAACATTGTCAATTGGCTTCTGGAGGAAGACAGATCTTTGGCAAAGACTTTGGAGCCCTGGTTCCACTCAATTGCTTCTTCATTTACATTAGAGTACATTTAGAGATCTGTCTGTTCAATAACATGTTAGCCGACGTATCAGTTGAAGCCTGCATCGTCCCCGTCTAGCAACTATTAGATTAAGAGTGTGATCAGAAAACCTTTATTTTGCAATATTTTACTCCATTAGGACTAGTTAAATAGAAATTCAGTATATTTGAAAAATTACAGAACTTGGAATGATAGTAAATTATTCTCAGATATCTTTGTTTTCAGTTTTGAAATTGATTTATTAAAGTAAAATTCCATTCTAATTCCGTTTTGCATGCTTTTGCTTTATGCACAGCCTTAACTTAATTGCGACTTAAACTGATAACGTGCGTTCGTGTGTGTGTATTTGTATGTAACTAGTCTGGCCATAAATACTGTACATAAAAACTTTTCTTTTTTCAACTTTTTGATTATTTTGAATTTGGAACGATTACACTTGTTTACACGGTTTTCATACCCCCAGCTGAGAGTTGTTATTTTGTTATTCATTTAGGTAGAATTATCCAGAAAAAATAATAAAAAATTCTGTCGCGTCTCGTTTAAGAAATGTTTATTAACTTAACTGAAATACATTAATTTGATTTCTTATTTTTACGCGAACACTACACATTGAAATAATACTAGTTTTTACGGAATTTATCGCGTATATTTTAACTTTTTAAATACCCGACGTTTCGAACGCTTTACAGCACTCATGGTCACGGGCAGGACCGATATGTTCAACGTCCATATGTCATAGTTAACCGCGGTTACTATAGATTAAAATTTAACTTTTGTTCCGATCAATGCAGTATGAACTTATGGTATCTTGAAGTCTTGCAGTTGTATGCTTGGGTTGGGATTTAATTTTATTTATTATAGGTACGCCACAGTACGCCATACGCCACAGTCGAGCGTGTACCTGCTGTACTGCCATATGTTAGAGGAGTCACTGACAAGATTGGCTACATCTTGAAGCGCGCTTCCATCAAAACATACTTCAAGCCGCTGAAGAAGATTGGTCAGTTTTTACCATCGGTCAAGTGTAACGTCCCTCTGCAAGATGCAGGAGTGTACAAGCTTGATTGTGAATGTGGTCTCTCCTACATAGGACAAACTAAAAGATCAATAAAAACCCGCGTTAAAGAACATATAGCTGATGTGAAGAATCGACGCTCCGGGAAGTCTGCAGTCTGTGAACACGTACAGGATCGCCCCCGTCACTACATCAGATTTGATAGACCGCAGATCCTCGCTAAAGAACACCGATTCCTTCCAAGGATGATTCGCGAGGCTATTGAAATCAAAAAACATCCTAATTTCAATAGAGAAGATGGCTGGGTACTACCATCTGCTTGGGATCCTATAATAAATAAAATTAAATCCCAACCCAAGCATAAAACTGCAAGACTTGAAGATACCATAAGTTCATACTGCATAGATCGGAACAAAAGTTAAATTTTAATCTATGGTAACCGCGGTTAACTATGACATATGGACGTTGAACATCTCAGTCCTGCCCGTGACCATGAGTGCTGTAAAGCGTTCGAAACGTCGGGTATTTAAAAAGTTAAAATATACGCGATAAATTCCGTAAAAACTAGTATTATTTCAATACATTAGTTTGGTATTAATACAAAAAAAAATTACTAATTTTTGCCTACTTTTTATAGCTACTTGAATTAGTTTCTCTTATAATGGACCAGCAGTAATCCCCTAACATGTTTCATCCCAAAATACTTGATGTCGTTCTTCTAAAACCTTCGAATCTTGGTGAAACCTTCCCCTTGTTCGTCACTCATACTTCCTAAATTTTCTAGGAAAAAATTCGGATGCGAGTGCACAAAATGAATCTTTAATGACATATTCACTCCCACCTTTTGTGTTTCGAATAAACCGGTAACAATTTCTTTGTAATTTTCACTTTTTTATTTCCCAAAAAATTTCCTACAACCATTTTGTATGACTTCCAAGCAGATTTTTCACTAACAGATAAAAGGATTTCAAACTGAATCTTTCATAATTGTACAGATTTATGGGGCAACAAATATACCCTCTTTCAGCTTTTCCTCTGTAACGTTTGGAAAGATTTTTCGAAAATACCGGGACGCATCACTGTTTTTGTCAAGCGCCTTCACAAAATTTTTCATGAGCCCCAATTTGGTGTAAAGGGGGTAGTGATGTTATTGGGATCTACCAACAACTCGTATTTAATGTTCATTTTGCCCGGAATATACTCATTCCGAATAGGCCATTATTTTCTAACATG